AACGAAAATGTTCAAGCTGTTGGAGAAAAGAAGGAGAAGCAAATGCAAATGGTGGTGGTGGTGGTGGTGGTGATGGTGGTGCGAGAAAAAGAAGACACACTGAAATTATATCATTACTCCTACTTCCAATCGTCCAACTTCGTTTTGGAAAGGGGTTGGGGGGGGGGAGTGGAAGGGGGAGGGGTCTCGCGCTTTCCTCTTACGAGCCTTTTTTTAAATAAGGAAATAAATTAAGATGTAATGGGCTTAATAAGGCTTCGAGCGAATAGCATTCCGTGTCCGTACCACGTAACTAATGGCGGCGTTTGCACATTTTATGCCATGTCTTGGACAGCAATGCCTAAAGTGAGAGGAGGAGGAAATGGCAGAAAAAAGAAGAGGTCACGTTGGGTCCCCGTAAGAGAAGAAAGGCCCAAAAGACCCCAAATGGCACTTCCTTTACCGATAAATGCGTCCCTTTCGTTTTTTCTCTCGTAATTCAACTTTTTACATTCATTATTTGGTTCTTTTATAATGCAAGCTATGATAAGTTTATCAATTTAATTACCTAATAATTAAATAGCGTACTCTATCGATAAAAAGCTACATTTTCAGCATACTTTGGAGTATTTAATGTTTTTTTTTTTTTTCTTTTTTAAAGGAGGATTAATTACTTAATTAGTAGTTGAAATTTTTGTGTAGATTGTCGGTGCCGGTTTAGACGGAATTAATTTTCAACGAGTAGAGAAAAATAAAGATAGAAATAATACATATATATTTTTAAATAGTTTTATAGAAAAATCTTGTACTCTTAATCATTTGTGTTCAATATATATTTTCGTTAAACCCAATGATAGATATCGAGTAATATAAATGATCAATAAATGTAAATAATTGTGTTCATTAATAATTATCGTATATATATATAAAACACTGACAAATTATATTTATATTAGAAATAATTGAAATGATAGTATATACAATTTTTTTTGTATTATTCAATCTAATTAATACTGATCAATTATATTACTTACGTTGATATTTGATTACAAAATACAAAACATTTATTACGAACTTTGATTAAAATTGTTGAAAAATACTGACCTAATAATTACCAGTTAAAATATATATATATAGAGTTTACGAGCCCGGAAGGGTATAAGGGAAGATGAGAGTGAGAGAGAGAAAGAGATGTAAAATAAAAGAACAAAAAAGAGAGAAAGAGAAAGATTTACTTTGAGAAGGACGTAGTAATGAGAAGTCGTATAGGTAGAAAAAGATGAAGAAAAGAAGAAAGAGGAAGATAGAAAAGAGAAAGAGAGTCGAAGTGGCGGCAGCCTTCGCCAGATACGACGTGGATCCATTGCAGAAGGTGGATGTTGGATGCACCGGGGATACGGGAGGCCGTGCAGCGGTGTAAATGCAATCAAGAAGGCCTCAATTAGACCGTCACGCCGTACATCCTTCATCTCTGAGTCTCGGCACTGCCATCCATACCCACCCTCTCTCTCCCTCACCCTTTATTTCTCTCTTTTTCTCCTTTTTTCTCTCTCTCTCTCTTTCTCTATTTGTCTCTATCTTTATCTTTTTACTATATCTTCTTTTTTATTCTTTTACATATAATATTTTCTTTCCCGTTCTTAATATTACCATCACATATCTAGCATATTTTATATTTTTTTTTTTACGTGTAATCCTATTTTATTTTTTCGTTAGTTAATCGTTGGTTAAATAGAATCATTTAGTTCAGTAATATTTTTTTGTCGTGTAAATTATATCCTTTTAGATATGAATGAAATTTTTTCTGGATTCGTGCACGTGTTTGTTTTAATTTCTTTCTTTTTTTGGTGATTAATTATTGTTTTTTTATTTTAATTATTAGTAAAATAGAATCGTTTGATTTAAGGATTATATTTCGGTACTGTAAATAATTTATTACCATTTTATATGTTTTTGAAGTATCTCTATTTCTCTTTACCTGTATTTAATGTTACCGACCCGTATAATAAAAACAGATGATTAATCGCAAAAAGATGAAATGAAAGATAATAATAACGTTTATAAATTACTTATATAACTTTACATAAAGGGTGTAACAAGTGTATAATAATAAGTAATTATTATTAATCATTTTCATTAATTTTTATATTTACATTAATATTTTATTATTATTAATTATTATTATAACATTTACGTATAAGACTCGACCATTAATTTATCGACAATTTCGAAATCCTATTATACAATACTAATTTTTCAAGTATTATAATATATCGCTAGTATTAATCTTGAACCTAACAAAATTTCTATCATTCTCACAAATCGTTCGGTCCAAACTCACTTCGAAAACCAGTTTAATGGCTCATTTATCTCGATCTTTCTTTTTGACTTTCCACTAAGTAATTCATTCAGCCGTTTCTACGTTGTATTACGTACAAAAAATGTTAGCCCTTTAACACTTCCTATTTTGTAAGATCGAAAATAAGAAAAATATTAACGTTCACTGCGACTATACGCTTCGTTTATTACAAGCGATATTTAATAATATATCGAAAGCATTTTCCTCGTAAACGATTTTACTACGCTATCCTATAATTATTATAATTTTCTCACTAAATTATGGGAATCAATTCCAATTTGTGGTTTTTTTGTTTTTTTATACACATAGACACACACACATATACACACACTTACGTATTATACATAAATGAATTTATTTATGTACACTATCGGCTAAAAGTATATTAATTCCGAGAAATAGTATACTTATGTGAAAAAAAAAAATACCTTTGGAATAATCGAGGTAGAAATACTTTTTGTGAAACACTCTGTATATATACATATATTATAGTAGTTACTGAATTGAATTATATATGTAGAATATATTTAACATTCTACATATGTGTTCACATGTGACTCACATACGAACACGTAAGACGTTTGTCATTAGACACGCATTTCATTAGAAACTTTGTTCAGTTCTTACTATCATTCTCTTGATATTATTTAACGGTTGCTTTCCTCATATCGTAGTAATTCGATACATTGCACTTTTATCTAACGACATAGTAATGCACTTAACTTGTGTGTCACTTTTGATCGACCTATCAACTCGTCGTCCACTTTGATTCTTTTTAATCGATTTATCCTTTATAAGCGATCTGACTTCGTTACGAAAAGGGTAAACGCAAATTACTTTGAATTATTTCTTTTTTTTTTATCTTACCTTTTTCGATGTTGTTAATTACTTGATGAACGTTGATTACTCACAAGTTTCTTTCGTAAAATGTAAGATTTTTAATGTCTTTTTTTCTGTTTAAATTATGTTTAATTAAATTGTAGAATATATATATATATATATTATGTTCAGGTATTTTTTTGTACAAATAAAAATAAATTAAATATTTTAAGGAATATTTTTGAAAAATAATTTTTATTCGTTCTCGTGAAAGAAACAATTTAAGATAATTATATTTATTATAAATCAAAATGGAGATTTATTTTTTACGTTAAGATTTTTTTTTAATTGTCTTTATTTTTGAAATGAATATTTAATTAAATTTATTGTGAATTGGGAAGGGGTAAATAAGTGATTATCCATTCTCTTGTGATCGTTGTCATTTTATTCACTGTAAGTAAAGGATAGACAGGTTAATAGGAATAAGTACAATATACACATCGATTTAATGTTTCTATGATAAACAATATAAATAGGAAAAAATTGCAAAGTAAAAAGAAACATATGTTTCACAATGACAACGAACAATGTTCATAGAAATCATATAAATTTTAGTCGAATAGAGAAATTGATCTAATTAAAAACAGCCGTTAGAATTATGTGAATATTTTCTTTCGTAATTTATGCAATTATTGTAGAATAGATCATACATTTACTTTTGTTAACTATTTACAAGGTTGCTTATATCGATTAAAATTCAATAAAATAAATGATTAAGTTATTGTAAAACCTATTGTTTCTTAAAAACAATTTCGTAGGAAGAGAAAAAACAATTGCTTAAATTATTATCTAAATATCGTGTCTATATTTTATATAAATATTTATTAATTTCTTTTACGTTGTCCACATTCTTTTTTTTTATTAAAAAACAAAATGTCTCACTAATTCTAATATGTAATTTAATGGTAAACGTTTAAATTGAATTTCACAATTTTACGCTTAGACAAAACGTTCGTGCTACGTTTGAATAGGTTAATAAAAAATACAAAATATTTCTCGATAACGATGATTAATGTACATATTTTCTTTTTCTTGTAGTTATTTATCGTTGTTTTCTTTTTTTCCTCGTAATAAAATATTTAAAATTAAAATGCAAATGCATTTCATCGTAAATCGAGAATCTCGTGGACGGAAAATACTTCGTCGATCTTTTTTATTCTTTTTTGTTTCAACGATCCATTCGAGTTACAATACTTTTTCTTTTCTTTCTTTCTTTCTTTCTTTCTTTTTTTATTTATTTATTTATTTTTATCGATATTACAAAAAAAAAATCTCTAAAAATTTTACCTCACTACGTTTTCGAAATTATTTTAATGTTAAAAAAAAAAGTTCTTTTATTTTTCACAAGGACAATTCTTATGTCAAAAAGAAAGGGCTCCTTTTTTTTAATAAAGAAAATATTAAAATCTAACATTGAAAAATCACCGATCGATTTTTTCGATCAACTAAATTCATACAACAACGTTCGACATCTTTAACATATTATAATAGTTATCTTCAAATAAAGAAATTAATCGATCGAAACTATGAGTTAAAAAAGAAAAAAAAAAAGAAGGAAACTTCTCACGTTCTCACGTACGCTATTAACTTATTCGTATTTTAAATTGTTCTACCAATTATAATATGACTTTGATATTCTACCGTTCATTTCTCACGTTCATTTCACTTTCACTATGATACTACTTTATCAACTGAGAAGTATCATCGTTTTATTACTATTTCATAGTAATCATCGTACTTCTTGTCTTAATAATAATAATAATAATAATAATAATAAAAATAATAATAATAATAATAATCATCATCATCATCATCATCATTACCATCATTATCATCGAATACGTAGCCATAAGATTCCATCTTCAGCTAATGAGATCACCTCTTTTCCTGAGCAATTCAAGATGATGCTCGTATTCTCTAGCTTTTAAACGAAGGGAAGCGATGCTATTGGTTCTTCTGTCGATGTCAGGCAAACCAACGCTACCCGTTGGTGAGCTTTGTGGTGAACTTGCCGTAGGTGGTGGTTGAGGAATTGGTGGATGAGACAAAGTAATTTGTGGAGCTGGTGGTGCTGGTGGCGGTGGCGGTGGTGGGGTCGAACCTCGAACGAGTTTTGGTCTTTGAGCAGCTGATATATTTGCCAAGAGACTTTGAAAGGATGCCGCTGACGTGTAAGGTAATGGCATGCCTGGTGGTAACAATGGTGGTGGTGCTCGATGATAGGGATGAGTAGTAAATGCTCCAGGAAGAACTGGTCCGTGACCCAATGGGGGATAACGAAAAGCTTCGAATGGCTTTCGTAAAGCAAAACTACTCAAATGAGCGAATGGATTAGGTAACGTAGGTGCTACCACTGCAGATGGTGGGGGTGCACCTGATCCAAGATAAGGATTATACGGATGGGCCTGAGGTCCAACTTTTTCTTGCTTTCGCCATTTCGCTCGACGATTTTGAAACCAGACCTGAAACAGATTGCATCAAGAAAATACAATGATAGGCATTTTTATTCCTATGCAATGTTTATCGAAAACGATTAATCGTATTTTTTTTTGTAATATATTATGATATGTAATACAAAAAAAAAAGGAAATAATTTTTATTAGATTTTATTTAAATAATTGAGAAACTAGGGTGGGCTTAATGATAAATGGTTAGAATCTTTCAACGAACTCGTAGTTTCGATTCCGGGTCAGAATGGCGGATTGATACCTTTCCTTGGAAGTCGTTGACGACCCCAGAGAGATCGAATTCCGGTTAGAGTGACGCATCTCAACCTTTTTCAGGAAGGCGGCAGCGTATCATTACCGACGGTCTTCCGACCGAACGGAAGGCTGCTTCGAGGCAAAGATCTTTACAATTTTTATCTTTCTCTCTCTCTTTCTCTATCTCTCTCACATCCTCTTTCTTTCCTTTCAACTATCTTTAAGCTTCCTTTTATCCCCTATCGACAATTTTTACCTTTTCCCTTTGAAATCAAACCAGATCTTAACTAAATCTTCACAACGAATTGATAAAATATTATTTTTATATAAGAAGTAACGATTATTATTGCAAAATTCGAATATTTATGTTTATAAGCGAGGTTCAATCTAAATTTTATAAAAATGAATATTTTGATTTTTAGTATGTATAAATATTATTATATTACCTTGCTTCTATTTAAAATATTGACAAATTATTACTTATATCAACAATTTATTTAACAAGATCTATTTAATTATAAATATTTAAAAAAAAAAAACAAAAATAAATATAGGTAATTTAATTTTTCTCGAGAAACACAGTTTTTCGCACGCATCCACGACGCGTCAATGAAAAATCAAAATATTAATTATATTCCTAAGGGAAGACAAAGAATAGATAGATAGATAATTGTATTTAAGTTCGATTTAAGATCTAACGTGAATGGGAAGGATAAGATGAAGAAGAGAATCTTCGTTGGCGGTACTTGTTGTTCGTTCTGAACGCATTCCATTGCGAAGTTTCTACGAAGAGTCGAGCAGCTCCGATCGGTTCAACGGAAGTGTCTTTCTCTCTCATTCTCTCTTCCTTTTGTTGTTAGCACTCATTTCGTCCCTTTTCTCAAAGTCCCCCTACTCTTCTCACCGTTTCTTCGTACGAGGGAGGCAAAAGGTAGAGCCAATCGTTCGTAAGCTTGTTGGATCGATTTTCTTTCGTGTCTTCCTCGCGACCCGACATACAATCATTCTCGGAAATTTATTTTTCGTATCTCACGATTTCAAAATAAAAACAAAAAAACAAACTATATACCAAGTGGACGCGATTCGGATGTCTTGTTAGAACCTTACCCCCTTACCACCCCACCCCTTCCTAAAAAACTTCTCATTTCGTATATTTTTCTTTTCCTTTCTTTTTTTTCTCTCTCTTTCTCTATTTCTTCCTTTGTCGCATGGTCGTTCACTGTTTTCGTGACAATACTAAATAATACCCGAGATGCAATTCAAATTATTCGATCAGTCGAATTTCAAGATTAATTTCCGTTCGAGATGAAGTTGTTCGTTAAAGGATTTTCCTCCCCCTTAACCTTTTGTCTTGTAAAAAATATAAAAAAATATTTATTTAATAATTTCATCTATTAGATTGTTCGATGAGTTAATTTTATTTGCTAACCAATGATAAATCAGAGTGGATATTTTTCTTCAATTGGATGATCTAAATGTGGGGGAGGATAGGAGACGCATCTTTCGAATCAAAAATATTATTAACGAAATTTCGAAAACCAATTTTAACTCTTGCGTTCATTCGACAATTTTTGTTTAAATCATTTTGTTCTCTCTTGCATCGCATCTTTACTATTACGGTAATAAAAATGCAAAATAAAATAATATTGTAGTTTGGAATATAAATTAGATATCGATAAATGCGACTAACGAAAATACTTTCCGAACAAGAAAAAAAAAAGCAACAAAATTGTATATGCAAACGTGGTTGATTATTATTGCAAATAAAATAAATTATTCATATATCTATCTTTCGTTAATTATATTTCATATCTGTCGAATGGAAAAAAAATCGAAGGTTCATAAAATCGTGATTTATTGTTATTGCAAATGTTAAGAAAAAAATTATTAATATAGTCTCGTATAAAAAGTAACAAACAAATATCGCATAAATCTCTTTTCATCTCTCTCTCTTTATATCGAATAGAAAATATCTTCCTTACGTAAAAAACGTGTTTATCACATTTTCAAACGCAACAAATTATTTATTATTCATTTACACGTAACTTGCTAACTAATGTAAAATTGATTTATGCTGAATATTATTAGTAATCATAATGATTTATTAGCTATCTATAATCGAATAACTTCGAAGTTTGTCTTTGTGTCATCATCGATTTCTTTGAATGATTATATTACAAGTATCGTAGTTTAATTATCCGGTGATTTAAAGGAAATCCCAATAAGGAAACGATTTATTCTTCGTTCTTTGGAAATCTAGTTAGTTCATTATTGATCATTGCAATCGTTTATGTTTTCTTTTTTTTTCTACACGACCACTTTTGTTCATTTTTTTCCTATCAATAAAACAGAATTAGTTCTTTATATTCTTCGAAAACATGCGCCACTTTTTATTTCTTTTTCTTGTCTTCCTTTTTTTTAATCATTCGAGTTTAGAAGATGTGTATATTCTCTGTACGATTGGTCGTGTTATCAGTTTGTTGGACGGTTAAATAGAAGATCGAAAGAAACAGAGAGAGAGAGAGAGAGAGAGAAATAAAGGGAGAGATGACTTTGCAATTTTTAAGAATCTTTTCAAGCAACTGGTTTTTCTCTATGATTGTGAGAGAAATTAATCATTAAATCGAATATATATAATAATATTAACGTCCAAATCCTATCGACAATTTATCCAATACTAATTTCAAACAGATAAATTAAAAAAAAATCAATTAAGTATTAATAATAAGTAGTAATAGTAATAATAATAATATAATAATATTAATAATAAAGATTGTGTGGTATCAGAATAAAAATAATCTCAGAATAATCCTTATTTGTTTCAAAAGATGACTAAAACGGGGAAAACCCATGAAAGTGGTGAAAAAAGATATCTCAATAAAAAGAGCCATATGCACAATAATTGAAATAATAAATATTAAAAATCAATGAAATAAATATCTCCCCACCCAATTATCATTATTATTATACTATAAAGAAAAATGAAAAAATCAACAAATCTGTTTAGTTATCTCTAACAAATTTATAATAAACATTTATAAAGCGTTCAAATATAGTGAGAAAGTTTCTTTAGCAAATAATAAATTACAAAGAGTATTTATATCATGAATCTATCGATACGATGGATCAAAAAATAGTAGGAAAAAGGGATAGATTAAAAAAAGAAAAAGAGGAAAATAATTGAGAAGGCGTGTGCTTCAGTTGAGTCGGTCAAGATCATAGAAAAGAACTATGGTCTCGTGAAGATGGAAAGAAGAAGGAGAAGAAGAAGAAGAAGAAGAAGAAGAAGGGGTTTGGGAAGGGTAAAGGGTGCTAGGACCCCCCAGAGAGTGGAGGATTGGGCCCCCAGCAGGGCGCTAAACATCCGAATCGCGGCTCTTAAAACAAAACCCAATCATTGGGCCCGCCGGAACCTAATCGTGCCGCATTAATTACACGAACGGAGAGAGTCCCCTCTCCACCTCCCCTCGACCCCTTTCCCTATCTTTGTAACAACGCCGACATCTTCCACCTCTTTTCCTTGTCCAAACTCAAATAATTATATTTTACGATAGACAAGAGAGAAATTAAATTGACTAAAATATCGACTGACTGCACCTATCGTGCGTCCCGCTATTATACTAACTCATAAATTAGTATACTACGGTATATGGAAATAAGACGTTTTTTGGTTATGACAAACTATTGTGATCGTCGGTTCAATTATTTTCTATTATAATAGAAGATAGTACAAATATTAATAGTATTATGATTAATTATATTCAATTTGTATTTAATTGGTTATACGAGATTTTATTTTTTAATCAAATTGTTCAGATTATTATGAAAGAAAAAAAGTTTTTATTTTCGAAAAGATTTAGATTATTAGATAAACTATTGTCCAAATTGTTTGGATAATTTAGGAAATTATTTTCTGAAAAAATACGAGACGGAAAATGAAATAATTTATAGAAAAAGAAAAAAGAAAACAGAACAAATGATAATATTAAATAAAAATAATACTAATCTCATTTTATATAATGATACACTCGACATGGATAATTAACACATTTTTACATTCATAGATTAACACGTAACAACTGAAAAAAAAAGATTTCTCTTGTCAGATATAAAATATTATGAAAATTGTTTAGACAATTTAGAAATTGATGTTTTGACAAATTATGAAATTACATGGACGAAAGAAAAAATGCATACGTTACGAAGAAGGGGTAAATAAAGGAAGAGAGAAAAAAAAGAGAAGAAATAAGATCGCTAACATTGAATAATAACTTCGTTCTATATATAATCGGTTACACGGCTAAGCTAATTATTACGTTTGGTGGTATTTATTTAATTTTGTATATTTTTTTTTTTTCCTGTTGAACAAAGAATGACGTAATCCTTTCCTCGTGGAAACCGCACGCGCCGACACGATTGACGGTTATCCGCAAGCATCCGCTTAGGCAAGATTCGTAATTCGATTTGTATTTTTACGTAACTCGGAAGGCGAGTAAATGACGAGGAGGAGGGGTAGGGTAGGGTAGAGGAGGGAGGAGGGAGGAGGTGGTCTTATTATCGTATCGGATAAGGAAGGAAGTTTGAATTTTAGTTGAATGGTTTTCTGGTACTCTCAAATACTCCTGTGTTTATTTTAAAACTTTCGAATATTAACAACAAAACTTGGAATTAATTTTTATTTTTAATTACAAAATATATACTTTAATTTAAATATTAAAAAAAATGAAATTAATATATTGTATATGAAATTTTGTATTCACTCCATCAAATTATCCCTATTTTTTAATTTCAAATAACACTTTACCTTGTGATACATTATAGAAATTATAAAAGAATTATTTAAAAATGTTTACGATGCTTGTGATTCATTTAGAAATTAATATTTAGCAAATTATTGAAAGTTCAAATAATCTTAAACGTTCTCTTTTGATATTTAAATTGAAGTATCTATAGTTTCTTAAATTTATTCTACTCGATTACACAAATATTTTAATTTTATTTATTTATTATAATTATTATTGTGTAAAGTGAACGCGCCAATTAATCGATATATTTCATTAGTTCGACAGATAAGAAGGAATTTGGAAAAAAAGAAAAAGAAAAAGAAAAAGAAAAAATGAAAGAAAAAAAGAAAGAATGAAAAGAAAAATGTTAATTCAGTTTGATGAAATTTGAAAAGCAACGAGAAAATATTTCACGCCCGAGTAATTCGCGTGGGAGTTTTTCTCGGACGGAGCCCACGCGAATAATCATGTAAGAAGTCATTATACTTCGTAGCTCGAGGACGAGAACACCTTTTCCTTCGTGAGTCGAATGTACAGTAAATACATACATATGAGAACGTTTAGGTGTGTGTATTATATCCATTCAGAGATTCCTGAAAATGATTAACGCAGCTGTGAGCCGTGGTACCGTGTCATTTACGTGAACAGTGGTTCTCATTTCTATGTGTAACCAAATATTACACAGATTCATGGGGATTATTTTGATAACCTAGGATTTTTTGTTTGTTTTTTTTCTTTTTCTATCTACGTGCAAATCACATATGAATGGTGAATATTTTTTTCGTTCCTTTCTTAGGATAAGAAAATACACGTGTACGATATGTTAGATGATTATAGTAAAAATAAAAATGAAAGAGAGAGAGAAAGAGAGGGAGAGAGAGAGATTGAGATATGAACGTAGATTTACAAGGAGGAAAAAGGAAAAAAAAGAAAATGAAACGGAAAGAGTCAACGTGTGGCGTCGAAAGGAGTCGGAAAAAGGGTCGAGTAAATACCGGGAATAAATTAAACTAATTGAGCAAATTAGCTGGTGGTTCACGCAACGAGCAAACACGTTTTACCTATCTCTCTCTCTCTCTCTCTCTCTCTCTCTCTCTTTTTCATGGTTTAAGTATCATTGAGATAAAAAAGCATTCGTTTTTTTCGTTTATAAAGCCATTTAAATCTTTTAAATATACAATTCTTGTATTTTAATAGCATGAAAAGTTAGATTTATTTAATGCACGTATATATGCATTTGTGCTGTCTCGTACGAGTTCTTTAAATATTAGAATATTTGATTTTTAATTGCATGAAAATTATAATTTATTCTCTTTGCGGCGCTTGTGCGAATATTTAAATTATCAAAATATTAGAATATTTGTGAAATGAAATTGCATTGATAATTTCGATTTATTTGACCGTATGCGTTTATTTCGTTATTTCATAGTATATCAATTATACTAAAGCATTTATTAACGTTGGTAAGTACGTAATTCCATTGAATCGTTCAACGGAACAACGTCATGTAAATCTCGTGGAAATTTATGTAATCTATTTGCCACTAGGCGAATTAATAGTCTTCCCGGTAAGACACGACACAAAAGGAACTTTTATCTTCGTTAGATCGCGTGTTACTTGGCAGCCGCAAGTATATCTACAAATTAGCGTCTGCAAGTGTGAGTTTACATATGTAGTCATTTATACATTCAATTTCTATATATTTAGTTGGCTAATAAATATAATGTCAGTAATTTTTGTAATAGTCATTTCGCGTTAAAAAGAATTTAGTATTTTCTAATAAAAATATAATGTAATATTGTTCGTTAAAAATAATTCAATACTTTTTACTAGAAATAATTTAGTAATTTTTAAGCACATAAAAAAAAGAACAACACTATCTAGTATCTCATATTTTGATAATCTTTTTATATTGAACATCATTTAGCATATTTAAATAACAGTGTAAAGTAAAGTATTTTGTTACTAGAAAATTTATAATATTTTATTTCGTGATAAACAACATTGATTTTTTATATTAAACATTCCGACATTACTTATTAGTTAAACCCATATATTTGAATATTTTTATGCATATTTGTGTATATTCGCATATATATATATATATAGTCAAGCAACGAAGTGGTGTGTTAGTAAAGTTATTTTCTCGCATAATCCTTAGCTTGCGGCAAGCAAACGCAATCACACGGATTATTGACTGGGTGCTATTAACAAAATCAAATGTCAAAAGCTTCCAAACGATCTAATAAATAATCTAATTGGCGTAAACGCAATATATGAATTTTCTATTCGAGCACGATAAATTTTCTCTTAACCTTTTTGTTTTTGTAAAAAAAAAGAAAAAAATATATGGACGGTTTTTCTTTTCCATCGTTGAAATTTTCTTATTTAACGTAATTGAGATAATTAGATTTTGAAATAGGTGTTTTGATACTAACCTGTATCCTTGCTTCCGTCAGGCCGATTTTCATAGCTAACTCCTCTCTGAAAATAAATAAGAAAAACAATTTAAGTATAGGTGATGATTATAATAAAAAGATTAATTATTGTCAAGGAGAAAAGAGGATCGAATTAAAATCTATTAAATCGCATAAGAAATCTTCGATAATAGTCATTATCTTGATAATCATCGATTCATCTTCATACCAAGAGTATTAATATTAACTATCGAGTATAAATACAAATACTAATGATACATCAATTTAAAATAAAATCATAAGAATACAAACATTTATCTTACTTATAATTTTATGAAAAAAAAAAAAAAGAAAAAGAAAAGAAAAAATAAAAATCAAACAAAAAAATATTCAAGACAAAATCACATTATTTCATATATATCATATAAAATTACATTATGTTACACAATTAATGTAACATAAATTTTGTTTCTTTTTCAGCTGTTAAAAAGAAATTAGACAAATCCACGATACCAAATCAATTTGTATGTAACTTAAAATTACTAGAAGAAATTAATTACTTTATAATGTTTTTTAATGCGCATAATACTCGATTATTTAGAAAGATTAGGAAAATGAAACAAAACATGTGTTAGAAACGAGGGTAAAACGATGAATTGCCGATCTGACCTCATAACACATCCGTGAGAAGATTATGGAAATTGCCAAGACCGGCGTTACGAGCTAATCGCTTCGTAAAGAAGAGAGAGAGAGAGAGAGAGAGAGAGAGAGAGAAAGAAAGAAAGAGAAAGAAAAAGAAAACAAATAAAAAAGCAGAATAAAAATACAAATAAAATAGAATTAATAGTGCTTGACCATGGTCGTCAAGATGACCATTAAATTATTAATTTACTTTGCATTCGTGTTGGATGACAGGATCGAACGATATTAAAACCTATCGATTAATTGCATTACGCCTTTGGATCATTACGCGTTATTTTATAAATTCCGTTGTTGGTAAGACTGGTCGGAAATTTTTTTCTTGATCCTTCTTTTTTTCAAGACGAAACGAGACGAGACGAGACGAGACGAGACTATTAATATCCATTAGGTTCCCTCGAGAACCAAACAAATCTCTATCCTCGTACCGATTTTATTTTCCTCCTTTATCAAAGCCAGATAAAATCTTATTTCGTATAAATCTTTAATTATGTGTATACGTGTGTGTAATATCTATGTACTCTTAGTATTCATATAGGTATTTATATTTTTATACATATTTATTTTTTTCAAATTTATAAATCACGTGTGTATATTATCATTAATACGACCAAATATGACGGATTTAAAGTAGCTATCGAGTTTATTATGTTACTATGATATCATGTACGTAATTATGAGTCCGTGATATTCATCATTATCGTCATTATCATAATAATCATCATTATCATCATTATCATGATCATCATCATTATCATCGTCGTCATCTTCTTATTATTATTATTTTTAATATTTTTTTTCTTTTTTCTTTCTTTTAATAAAAATAACAAAAGGACACATAAGAGTTAGAATAGAAAGACATTAATCCTTCGTGAGAACGATTCGTTCTCACCAAGAATCGTTTTCCCTCTTCTTATCGGGTTCCACGTAATCCCGAAGAACTCTCTACGTTCATATAATGGGCGACTGATAGTTCAACGTTGCGATAGAGTCAAATGTTCGTAAATATATACATATGTATCTATCTGTTTCTAAAGTTTTCTAAATATAATCTATCCACCTTTCACTTCTTGCGAGAATACGTTATTTCTCTTTCCATCCATCCATCCATCCATCTATCTATCTATCTATCTATCTATCTATTCGCGTTCTTCCAAAAGTGATTAGGACGATTTTTCACATTCATTGATGACATTTAGAAACAAACAAAAAAATTAAATTAGAAAAACTTGATATATGAAATCAGTGATTCCGGAAATAACCGATTAGGTGGTTAGGGGGGAAGTTTTTTCGTATTTTCCCGATTGATGACATTAGAATTATTCAAAAAGTAATTAGGATCATTCTTAATCCATCGATGACCGAAAATTCATTTAAAAAATCTTCATAATATGTAGGATCTGTGAAATTTTGATGAATATTAAGATTTGGGGAAAAAGTTTCTTCGTATTTTTCCGATTGATGGCTTTAAGATCGCATAATAATAATAATAATAATAATAATAAAAAGAGAAAAAAAGAAATGGAATCTAGTAAGTTTGGATTAACAGTTGGGATGAAGGATAGGAAGATTATCATCGATATGGGGCCAGAAGTCGATCACAGCGAGACACCCTAAGGCATTATTCCCTCTCATCATTTTGCACGCAAATTGCACAGATGTTCCACGAAATCGCGAAGAAATCTCAGTGATTACCGCGCACACAGAAGCTACATTTTTTTTCCGTTCCGTTCCATTCCTTTCCTTTCCTTTTGCTTTCCTTTCCTTTCCTTTCCTTCCTTCCTTCCTTTCTTCCTTCCTTCCTTTATTCTTTTCTTTCATCCATCCTTCTCTCGTGTTTAGGAACAACACGCCCGTTTGCCGAAGATTTTCGGGCAAATGCTGTCGAAATTACAGGTATATCAAGACTTTTTCTCGGGCTCGAAGATCATCTCCTTCGATTTGCCAAGGACGATCGGAGAAAGAGGATAAATCATATAAAAGGATCGATAAAACCTGGTATCCAAGAATTATTCATAATTTTTTCTTTTTTTTACCCCCTTCCTTTTTATATTTTCTCGAGAAAAAAACATGTCCTTCGGACATGTGTTAACAAATTTGTCGAACAATTATTAACGAAAGTTTCAAATAACGAATGAAGGGTCTGATCTATAAATATCAAATTTTTAAAGAGAAAGTAGGATAGACAAAGAAAAAAAAAAAACAAATGTAGGATGCGTAGCGTATGCAAATTTATTTGAAAAAAAAAAAACAAAAAAAAACAAAAAAAAAGATAAAAATATTACAAATTACTTAGCTTGTCGTATTGGCATCATCTATCATTACAAAATGATTATAAATCATGGGGACAAATTTCGAATAAAAAAAATTAATGATTTTAATGAATAACTCTAGTAAAGACAAAATTATTAAATATAGAGAAGATAGGAGGGATTGCTATTTAAAAAAAAAAAATAATTAAAAAATTTAAGAAAGTATCTCCAGTGTGTATCCTGTTAGATGAATACAATTAAAATTCTTAAGTGCAACATATATACAAGGTGATTACAAATTGAAGAAAAAGAATTTCAATAAAAAAATCCATAGAAAATAATTGAAAAAATGATTGAATGAATCGATGATGGATAAATATAATTGGTATATGTGTAAATGTGTATAAGGACAATTTTACACGATGATAAACGAATTAACGAAAATTGTAATAAAGACGAATACGTATGTAATCGATAAAATACAAAATCGTGTGTGAGAAAAAGAAAGAGAGAGAGAGAGAGAGAGAAAGATTAAGAGAAAGAAAGAGATAATCCGAAGTAAGCTTGTCGGCTCCTTTCTCGGGGAACGTTAGATCGAGCGCGATCGTAATTACGATAACAACAACTTAATAGGATTTAATTTTCCTTATCTCCATGTGTGTAAGTGCTGCGCATTCGAAATATCCTTGAAGCGATTCCGCGAGCTCTAAGCGTTCAAAGAAGTTGCGTTACGAGAGAACGATATCGATTATTATTATCCTTTGACCTTCTACACTCGTATATATGGGGGGGAGGGTAAGGGGTAAGGGGTAGCATAAGGGGCGAGGGGGTGAGGGGGAGGGATTAAGAAGAAAATCAAAAAGAAAAGAAAAAATTAAAATAAAATAAAAATAAAACGAAACTCTGGAAATAGAAATTAAGAGAAAAAAAAAAAAAAAACAATTCTCGTTGCGTGTTGCGGCAAGATCGAAGACAAAAAAAGTCGAATCGATATTTTGGTTTTTTTTTTTTCTTTGGCGATCGATTTTACGAATTCGTTCATTGCATTGCATGTCCATCGACCATCGAGTTTCGCGAACGTTGAAAATGAGAGTTAGATCGATCACACGAGAAACGGAAAGAGACATCAAAATTGATCCACGATTGCGTGAAAATAATCCGTCATAAAAAACTTTTGCCGGTTATCCTCGAGTGTGAGAAATGATGAGAAAAGGAAATAAAAGATGAAAAAGAGAGAGAGAGAGAGAGAAAGAGAGAGAGAGAGACATAAATATTATTGATTCATGTTCGCGTGAAAATATTCCGTCATTTAAAACTTGGCTCCAGTAGATATCTTTTTAATATCACTTTTTTATTTTTTTTTTTTTTATCAATATACATCAGAGAGTATAATAAAATATTGGTATATGAAAATATATTATATATAAATAATATTGTAATTTTTCTGTGATCATTCATTTAAAATATATATCCCACAAATTATTATTTAAATTAAGTTTCGTACAATTAATTTTCATATTGATATATTTATGTCTATAGGAGAATGAAACAATTCATCGATATAACGAACAATCCAAAAGTTTTATCATGTATGGAAAACCAATCTTATTAATGTATCCAACACCAAAATCGAATAAATAAATACAACAATTTGAATAAAATTGAATGAAAAATGTATAAAGGGATGAAATTTTGAAATCTCGCGCATCACCGTCCACTTCTTTCACCAAAGTTTTCTTCGTTACTTTCCCACTCTCCCCCGCCTCTCGAATATACATTAATTATACCGTAAATCAAAAACGATTGACGATAGGATTCGTTTATTTTGTTTCTTTTTCCTAACAAGTAAAATAACGACGAAAAGATCGTTTTCTTTTAACGTTTAGTCCTTTGCTTACAGTACATACATACATACATACATACATACATACATACATACATACATGTTTTTTTTTTTAAAAACCATGCTCGCATTTTTGATCCGATCTCTCCGTAACTTCATATACCCTGTGAAGGATGCTGATGATTACCCCTTGTCGTAAGTTTAATGGTCAGTCTGGCGGACATAGTTGCGAAGATAATTTGTACCTGCTACCGACTCGGTTCCCGTTCAATG